TATATATATATATATATATATATATATATATATATACTATATATATATATATATATATATATATATATATATATATGAATATATTAACCTCTCCGATCAGGATTCGATCCCTCACTGCCGTTGCAAGAGATTGCAAGACAGTCACTCTATCCACTACACCACCACCCACTAAAAGGATCGTGCAACCAGGCGCCACCTGGCACCATGGATATTACCTAATTACTCATACATGAGTAAATATAGCGAGATTTTACACTTATTGCCATGGGCATTCGGGACTTATGGAAAGAGCAAATCAAACCCCAAATCAGATAACCTGAGGTATATTGATGAAAGAGCCTGCCAATTTGTTGTATGCATATTGGTCACTGTAAACTCCCTTTCCTTTTCAGTAATCTGGTTTTGTTTGTTACCCCCATTTCCAGACCACTGTATCATAGGTGACACAGGTAGTGGTGTTACAGTATTAGATTTTAGGTCATACATATTTTCACAAAATGTAGCATCAGACCCTTTCTTTTCCCTCTTTTAGCTCTGCTAACCCGCACCCATAGAGTTACCCAGCCCTATCCAATAAAACTGTAAACTTCATTTGATACACAGTACTACATAGTTTTAATAATTCCAAAGAATACAATGTCTCTTCCCTTCTGTCTGACATCACACAGAGGACAAGGTCTGTCTGAACTACTGGGGGTCAATCCTCACTAACAAATGAAGCACCTGCTTAGTCAATGGCTGCCATAGTTATAATAATAGCGTCATATTTTGTAAATCTCGAAAATTCGAAGCAGTAAATAGTATCATAAAAGTAATTATTCTGAACAAGCCTGAGCAGAGTATATTCAGAGTAGATTAATCTGCATTGGGATAAGACTGGTATCTGAGTATCTGAGACAAGTACAAATCAAATGTAAATTTATAGAAAATAAGACATAGAAAGACCAAAGCGGCCCTGGGAACATACAAAAAAAAAGAAGACATACAAAGGTGGCATGTCTTCATGAAACTGTGCAATTTAGGGATCATAATTACAGAGCAGAGCCACAGTACACAAGATAGGAAATGTTAGATAAGAGGAGAACACTACCTCCTACAATGCATTCAATAAATATATATCACACTCTCATGTACAAATATCTAATTGTACTATATGTAAATATAAATATTTTCAGTAAACAGAAAAACATTGTAACAGGTTATAAGCAAATAAAAGAAAACAAATCTTACCTACAACTTACTATATAGTATCTTTATACATCTCTCCTTTAATTATGTTTAAAAAAGTTACTTTCCCTATAACCACACTACACCATCTATGACATTAGATGTCAGCAGACAGACTTGCCATTTCTTAAGCCATGCTTTAGTTTTACCAAAATACACATATACCCTGTAATATTTTCTATATTCTATGGGCACTTGAGACCAGTTTTGAATCTTTTTTTTCAAATATATTTCTTCAATATATGTCTTTGGTTGTTTGTTGTTCTACTATGCTTGAAGAACATATATGAAATCAGTATTTTGTTATAACATTTTTTCATATTTTTGTTTTTGCATGCATTTGATTGTCACACCACCAGAGAATGAATATATAAATGTTTACCAATAATGTAGGCTCACTAGGCAAATACATATTAGTGAACAACAACAAATATCCCCATGATTAGAAAAAAGAACAAAAATTACAAGACTGTAGAAAAAACTGTAAATTTCTCTACCTTGGTCAAATCAACGCTCCATCCGGGAATATTGCTCCACAGATTACCACCAAACATGACCGCTTGTGAAGGCACGATGGAGAAGGTGGGCAGGGGGGTGAAGTCCTCGTCATTCTCATACAAGAACTTGAGGCCATCTTCGTCCTGCACTGAAGCACCCACTGAGAAAAAAAAAAACATGACATGAATATCAGTGTTACTTATTGTTATCATTATTGCACTGAGTTATGGACTACCTAGGCAAATGATATGGAGTTTGTGCAAGGAAAACAGTTCATTACCATCTGGATACTGCACATATGAAGTGACAAACATAGACATTGGAAAAGGGCAAAAAACATAAAAAGCTTATGCAGAAAGAAATAATAACAGGCAAGGATTCTTGACATTGCACAGGAGTTTCCATGTGTGCCTAGCCTACAAGTCACACACTCATTGGGCCATTAGCAGATAGTGTGGCATCCATGTGCGAAAAACATTTTGTTTCCATAAGAGTCAAATCATATTGATAACTTGTATTAAGTGGTCACTTACCTCCAAGGGCATAAAGGATGACATCTTTTGGCTCATAGGTGAAGCTTGAGGGTCCAACTTTCACACCAACAGCCGATATCTGTCATGATCCAATAAAAACAGTTAGACTAAAAAAAAGAACAATGCCCAACAATCACTGCCTATTATGTTTAGTGCCATCAATAGGGAGAGCCTCTGTCTGCCTCAAGGTGTGGCTTGCATCCCCAAGCCGCTTAATTTATTAATTTATTTTTTATTATTATTATTTTTTTATACTAAACTACACTGATGTAGCCACACTTATACCTTAAACCTGACACTAGAATAGCTCATTTTTCTAAATTTTTGTTTACTTTGCTTGCCTAGCCACTCTTGTATCTCTTCTATTTGATACAAAAATAGAAAGTTTAGCTCTGATTAAAATTATGATTAAAATTCTTCATAATTTTTTATCAATGGTACTTTTGTTTAGGTAAACTGCTATGTCTGCTTCTTGAAAAAAAGAGGCGGGGGATAAAAAATGAGATCTTTTGGGGCATCAGTGAAACTTACCCACTTAAAGAGAAAAGTTAAAGCTTTTTGTTAGTATCATTTCAATAACAGACCTTTACACAAGGGTACAGAACATGTAATTCTTATATGAAAAAAAAAGAGAGAAAGAAAGCTAAGATAGAAAATCTTTAGCTTAAGGGTACTCACTGGCCCTGATGTGACAGCTCCTGTTGCAGATGCAGGTTTGGCCTGAATCTCCTTCCATGGCTTCAAGTCTTGTAAACCCTGGAAAGACACGATAAAATAGTGGATTTGTCAAGTCCTTGAGCTATTACATACGAAATGTCTGTTAACTTCTTGCGTAAAATGATAAAAGTAAACAGAAGTGTTCATACTGACTATCTATCATTAATACAATATTTTTTTCAACAAAAAGCTTCTTGCCATCAAAGCCACTCATATCATCACACAATCCTATCTATCAATGAGGTAATAATATGCACATGAAATTCAGAATGAAGCAAAACTTTTTAAAGCTTCAAAAACAAAGCAAGAACATATCTTTCAGAAAAAAAAAGGACAAAAAATCTCCAAGCATTTTTACAGCAGCTAATATCCCCGTATCTTCGTGGTTACTTGCAGGGTGATAGGCATCGGTAAAGTCCGTAATCTTTTCCCAGCTGTCACGAACAGCCTCTGGGGTGACCTCTTCCTCTATATACTTCCTGCAGAAATGCCCTTGGGTGCGCTCCCATCTGTCTGTGGGATGCAAATACAACAGAATGAAAGTCAAATTAGCCCATATATATAAAAAAAAAAAAAAAATATATAAGAACAACCCACACTGACAAGGACTCGAAACTCCTGTCCCTCCTGGTACATGACCTAGAATGAGGAGTACTAAACAACCCAGCAAAAAGAATGCAAACCTAGGATTCTTTGGCTGGCTCATGTGGCACAGGTGGTTTAGTACTGCTCATTCTGGGACATCTACATTGACTCAAGATTCGAGTCCTTATCGGGAGAGCTGTTATTCATCTTTAGCATTGCTTTGCTGCATTATTCCCTCTTACTGAGCAATATGTTCCTCACAACTCATATGATACTGAAATATGTGATCTCAATGAGAGAAAGAAAAGAAAAGGTGGAAGAACTAGTACAAGCAAGAAAAAAAGAACATGAAAGACCAAAAAAGATAATAAGAAAGACAAAAAACAAACAAATAAAAGAAGAAGAAGAAGCACAAGAGGAAAAAAAACAAGAAAAAAAATGGACCAGTAATAGTAATACTTACACTTTCCATACCATCCACCAGCCGCTTCGAAAAGGCCGCCCGTGTCCTCACAGTCCTCGTGACAGAGCCAGGCAACAAGTGGGGCCACGTACTCTGGCTTTAACTGGTCAAACAAGTCTGGAACATGAAGTACATGCTAGGATACTCAAGAGCAAAGCCCTATGCTTTTTAGACGCATAGCCGATATGTATTTTTGACCAACTAGCATTGATGATAGGTAATGTCCACTGTCATTTTGATTAATGGATTTTGTTAAGGCAGAGTTGGTTCCATAAATACTTAATTACTAATGAGTTAATTAGGAGGTCTACTTAACTTAACCTAATTACCCCATTCCTTGAATTTTCAGGAATAAGTTGTTTTTTATAATACTAGTTATTATCATTGGCATTGAGATATTACTAAAAATGCTAATTGATGCCTTAGCATTTGTAAATCCTTCTATGTGTAAAAAATGCATAAAATAAATAAATAAATACATAGATAAATAAATACAATAACATAAAATAAAATCATTGTGGAAATTGCAAGTTAGGTACATTCTATCCCAGTAGTAATGGGTTAAGTATGCAGCTAAAGGCTAAAACCTACCAGGTGGCAAGATGCCTTCCGTCAAGCGTGTTCCGCCCACGGGGGCAATCGTGTTGCAATGGATGTTATATTTCCGCCCTTCAATTGCAACTGTGTTACTCAAGCCAAGCAGACCAAGTTTTGCTGCCCTGAAAATACACCAGCATTCAAATTAGCATCTATAGAAAAAAAGATCTTTAAAAGTTTCCATCTAGTAAAAATAATTAAAATATATAATACAATATTATCCAATCAACAAGTAAGAACTCAACACAAATACAATTCTGTAATTACAAAATGATCATTACCAATAATGATACAAAAAGCTAAAGACACATTTATAATCTATCATTATCAAATTATAAATAAATCTATTTACATCACAATAATCATCATCACAATAAGAGAACATAGTGAACCCCATTAACACTAACCCATAATTAGCTTGGCCGAAGTTGCCGTAAATGCCGGACGTGGATGCGGTCATGATGATGCGGCCAAACTTCTGTTCCTTCATGATGGGGAAGGCTGCTCTCGTCACCATGAAAGAGCCCCGGAGGTGTACTCGCTGGATCAGGTCTGTGACGGGCAAAATAAGGTGAAAGTTCCTGAAGGTTTCTTTAATTGTTTTTCAAAGATTTTTCTTTTTCTTAATCATCGAAAATAATAATAACAGCATGATCCATAAGTTTTTTTTTTTTTTTTTAATAACAGCAGGAGGGGAAGGGGGGAACTGAACCTTACTGCATATCACAATAGGAAACAGTGTAATATATTCCTACTCCTTTTCCCAAAAACTCACTCACTCACCCCAATCCGTGTCCGAGATGCGGGCAAAGGATCGGTCACGCAGGATGCCAGCATTGTTCACCACAATGTCTACTCTGCCAAAGTTATCCAATGCCGTCTTCACTATTTTGTCACCATCCTCAACGGAGTCATAGTTGGCTACTGCTGTCCCACCTTTTGAAAAAAAAAAAAAATAAATGATAAATAAACATGCATATAATAATAATCATGCAAATATATGTGTGTGTGTGTGTGTGTGTGTGTGTGTGTGTGTGTGTGTGTGTGTGTGGTGTGTGTGTGTGTGTGTGTGTGTGTGTGTGTGTGTGTGTGTGTGTGTGTGTTGTGTGTGTGTGTGTGTGTGTGGTGTGTGTGTGTGTGTGTGTGTGTGTGTGTGTGTGTGTGTGTGTGTGTGCGTGTGCGTGTGTGTGTGTGTTTGTGTGCACGAATGTGCTTGCATGTCAGACATAGTTACCTGCACTTCGAATCTCCTCAACCACTTGGTCCGCCAACTTCGAGCTGCTGCCCTCTCCCTTCTTGCTGCCACCCAAGTCATTTACGACAACCTTGGCACCGCGGGAACCAAACAAGAGGGCATAGGCTTTGCCGAGACCTAGAATGCAAAGACACTATCAACGATCTTGTTTTTCACATGGTAATAATTTGTACAGATTTACAAAGATACCTAAAAAATGTAAATAAGAAAAGGTACAGAAAGAGGTTTGGCTTTCTTTTACAATGAGAGTTAGGTTACATGTAGTATGTAAATTAACAAAGCACCAATTTCACATATAATGAAAATGAGCGAGAGTAAGTATGACACCAATTTATAGAAATATTAAGAAAAAAATTTGATTTCTTCTACTCCCATCTACATGATAAGCATTGGAAGTGTAAATATATATGCGTCAACTGTAAGGACTTTCATATCATAATCCCGCAAATAAATTAACTGATAGAGGGAAATTGATACCATAAAAATGTCTAATTACTGACTAACCCGATGCTGTCAGGGCTGGCATGTAAAGACATACCATGCTCACACTGAGTTTAGTTTATTAATCTTATTAACAAATAGATGGTCCCACAAGTGCTTAGTCACATATCTCAACCCCTAGTCCGAACTATCTCACGCGATTAGCCTTTTCCTTAAATTTTGGAAAGATTTTTAAAGATTTTATATTGCTATTACTATTGTTAATAAAACTGCAGTAATCATAGCATCAGTAATAATAAGAACATAGACATCAATAGCATTTGGAAAAAAATACTGTAACAAAAGACTCGAGGAATAGAAAAATCAAGTGAGGGCACATAGACGACTGACTCCTTGGTTAAAGGGCACTTGTGGAGCCATCTATGTGTAGACAGATTTCATAGAACAACGCTGCATTGAACATAATAGTTTTACATTGGATTGGATTAAACAAAATAACAAAGTTTTCTTTACTTTCTGTTTGGACTGCAATGGATGCATAAGTCACTATTGCATAATTACTGTAGTCAGTCACATACCTAGTCAGAGATAAAATTTGAGACATTTGATTGCTTATCCACAATGAACAATGGTGAGCAGATACAAGCAACAAGATACCTAACCCTATGGTCTCTCCAAGAAGCTCTACCTTGTTAGAGTACAGGCCTGTGCTCAAGCCACTGCTCTCTCCAGCAATTATCACTACAGTATAGCTGAGCGATATAGTATACTATAGAAGAGACAATACACGTGGCTTGGGACACCACGTGAATGCTCTCCTCGTGGAGCAAGCTAGCATGTGGTGTGTAATTATAGCAGTCCACGTGGCAAGGTCGCCATGCCACCGACACACCCGCCAGCTATATTTTTGTTCTTTTTTATTATAATACGTGATCTTCCATTCGTGTGTTATTAATAAAGTGTGCAGCCACATCAGTTTATCACTACTGCCCACCAGTCTTCATCCATATCGGAGGTTTATCACCTCTTATAGTCACATAGGAGCAAATTTTTGTGCACTTTCTAGTCTACAATTTATTCTGCACATAATTCAATCTGTACAAACATTTGTAAATAACAGGCATGTTGCCTGCAACCCTTCATTGGTATGTCTAGGCTGACTTCCAAAATATCTTTATAGGCTATTACAACTATACAAGATGATCAAATACTTTAAATACTCCATAATGAAAGAATGTTCTTTTCTCTAGTCTACTCTGATACAAACTTATCTTAGTGGAAAAATCTTAAAATATCTTTGATAAAGCTTATAGTAATCAATCAATATCTAATTTGTCATTTGTCCTGAGAGAGAAAAAAAGGTGATGTTATACTCTTAGAAATATTACAGGTGAGTAGAACCATACAATATATCTATACTTGTGAGTATAGACAGACCGCATGCACTTATCCGAGCATGCACAAATTTCCAAATATAAATCTAAATACTTTGCCAGATGAAGTATGAGTAAGCTACATTTCAGATTAACTTCTTTTTCAGGTAAAGTGGTCTGCATGGAGCCTGAGAAACGAAGAGAGCAGTTCCCTAAAAAGTTTGTCATAGAGCAAGAATGGTTTCAATTTGAATGTGACCGACCACATACTGTCCATAACTGTGAATTTAATTAATCCAAATTTGAAATATTTTAATAAATCATTTGGGAATGGCGCGCATCTCATAACTTTTTAGAGTTTAAGTATTTGGCTAACCTGGTAAATTCAACAACGGAAACCAATCTACACAAACACACAAAAGTAACTGTAGTAATTTTTTGTAATAATTCCACACTACCAATTTTGATGATATTAGTATCGTTGGATTCCTCTCACCATATACAATAGAAACTTATAGGCTTTTTTTTTCTTTTTTTGCAGAAACCCTTCCCTTATTGATAAGCTCAGCCCCAATAGCAGGGGAGGGCATGAGAAGTACCATGGAAAATGCAGGGTTAAAAACAATAAAGTACACTCATTACTATCATATACTCGAAGAAGAAGAAGAAGAAGAAGAAGAAGAAGAAGAAGAAGAAGAAGAAGAAGAAGAAGAAGAAGAAGAAGAAGAAGAAGTAGTAGTAGTAGTAGTCCCTGAAAATGCAGGGTGCTATGCCCCCTCAGACTACCCCTTGGGGGCCTACCACCCCCGACCAATGCCCTGGAAGACAAAGAATCCACCATATGTGTACGGCAGGATAGAGCATGAAGCATATCTAAGAGTACTGCAATGTTCACATAGAAGCAGCATATTAACCTGTAATATAATCAGTATTGTATACTAAGCAGATTGTAGTATAATCCAGATAATGAGTAGAACCAGCGGTGACCCACTTTCCTCGGCTGGTTGTAAGCAATACCCGGGCGCTGGTAGCCTCGGCGGGCAGTTACATAGGATGACTGATTGGAATGATAAACAGTCAATAGTAAGACATATGAGAAACTCAGCCACTAGATGGTAGTAATTTCCCCATACAGTCACAATACAGACTGTGTCACCATCTATTGCATATTTTCCTCTCAAGATCAACTTTCCCCTCCTCTTAACACCACGATCTACCAGGTCCACAACAGCAATGAGACCTCATGCTGGACGCATCCCGCCTCTCTCACATCGTTCTGCATCAGCTGAGCATCCTCCCAACCTTCAATGCCTCTATCAATCAGGTTAGTACCTTATAATTCCTAGGTTATGTAGTACAGTGTCAGTTACAGAGTCAGGTCCGCATCTACTTCGTGTGTGTTATATCTTGCCATGAATATGAGGAGGATTCTTTGTTTCCTTGGAAGGGGTAGGGGGATGGCACATTTTTTACTGGTACCTTTCATGCCCTCCCCTGCTATCAAGGCCAAGCTTGTCGCTACCAGGGGGCTTCCACGCAATACAAACAACATATGTGCATTATAGATAGTAAATGGAATCTAACAATACCAAATTCGGTGATATCGGTCATGCAGACTTATTAGAAAAACTACCATAACTATTATGGTGCATGCAGAGATGAGTGTATACTGTCTGTCGACACTGGCAAGTTATATCTATGGGCTGAGATTGTTGGCTATTCAACCTAAACGATTAAAACCTATCTTAATACAGAATTAATATTATGGTTTATCATTTAGAAAATTTTGTATCAATTCTTTAATCATTACCTAATCACTTGACTCTCAACAGTAACCATGACAATGCAGTATGTAATTCATAAAAAAATGTTAACATGACTTGCAGCTGAAATTAGCAGAAATTAAATGCTTAACATCATTCGCTTTATCCTCTTCTTCTATACATAATATACATTTTGTCTCATATCATGCCATGAAAGTTAATTGACAAACTGACACTCAAGAATATACAAAATAAAGAAACTTAATGAATTACAAAAAAACGACTCTCACGCACCACAAGAAACCTCGCAAAAAACACCCTTATTTCAACACGTCACATCATTCCTCCTCGCTCAAAATACGTACATAACAGTTAAACATCTACTTCTGAATCTAAAACAGCCATATATCTCTACTTACCGCCTCCAGCACCGGTTACAATAGCAACTTTCCCATCAAAACGTAACTTGGAGTCCATCTTTGTTGACGCCGATCAGCTGACTGAAGGAAGATCACTGTTGCCAGAAGCCTCACGCCGTAGAGACCCTT